CATTTTGAAAGTCACATGAATTGATGATCATTGGTGAAGATCCTAGGTGGCTACGACATACGGTTTCTGAGTTTTGATGGCCAACCGACATCGGTTAATTTTCAAAGGGGCATAACCCTACCAATGAGTGGTTGAATCTTTTCGATCCAAATGTAACGAAGAACCGGGCTCTGGTCCTGAACAAATTTCACCCTTTGCTTTTTTTATACCTATTACGGTTACGGTGTTTGAATGATAACAAGTTTTTTAGGTTTCGGAGGGATAACTCCGGACCGACAAAATTTTTCGACTCACAGGGTGAGTTCCGGATAGGTATTTGTGACACGGATACAAAGTGTGAACCTGAAAGCGACATGGCTTACGGTCACGGAGGGAAATTTTGTCAAAGTTTGGCAGAACAAAAAGAATAATAATAATAATAATAATAACAATAATAATAATCAGAAGAAATACAGTAAGGTCTTTCCCTTTTGGAAAAGGAAAGACCTTAATAATAATCAGAAGAAATACAGTAAGGTCTTTCCCTTTTGGAAAAGGAAAGACCTTAATTATAGGGAAAAAATGGAGTTGTTGTTCTTCTCCGTTGACAGAGTAGATAGCACATAGCTTCATACAAGAGTTGTAAGTGGAGGGTAAAAAAAAGGGGGGGGGGGGGGGGGGGGCAAAAGGGAGTCCCATGGAGACAATTTGTTATATAAACGGTACATTTAAGAATGGTTAAAAACGCCGATTTACAATATAAATCAATTGCTTTTAAAAGCAATTGTAAACGGTCTTTCCCCCTTCTGAAACATGATTGATTGATATATGTGTTTGTTTGTTTGTTTGTTTGTTTGTTTTTTTGAATGGTCCATATTAGTGTGTTGGTTAAGTTTCTATATTTAGTTTGGAAAGTTTTTATTCTATTTCAGGGTCCGCGCGCGTCTTTGTCTCGCGCCAGGTTGTGGCGTCACGTGACGAGGCTTTATATTAGCGAAAACTTAGTATTTTTATTTCTTTTTAGGTGGGGACGTTGGACAGACAACATGTATAGCGACGGAATACACACAATGTATTTCTTTTGTCATTGTAGGTAATTGACGTTTCGATCACAGTTCACGAGCAGTGCATGCTTTGGATTTAATTGATCCTGTGTAATTTTAAAACTCGTTTGTTGATTATTTTCATATAATGTACATTTTTCAGTAGCAGTTTGTAACACAGATTTGTATTTCAATCTAATAGCGGACATTTTATTGTAGGATTTCACTGAGATTTACGGAACTAACAAGCGATTTTTACGGCATTGCAATTTCTTTTCTCTAAGAAAATTCTTGCGAGATATCTGCACCACGTTGTTTTATGAAGATGTAATACATGTATACCCTGCTGACTGCAAATTTTGGGGTCAATTGGACATGTAGTTTCAGAGAACATCTGATAACAAGCATGTGGATTTTTTTTTTCAGAACAGATGTAAGAACAATATTAAAATGTCAATTGTTCTTGAACAATTGAGAGGTCTTTCCTTTTGTAATGTAAAATACATGTTCCAATAGACGTAGAATGTATTGAAAAGTTCTAAAACACACAAAAAACTGTTAAAATATGATAAAAATCAACAAATTCGCTTTTTAGGAGATGACCTTGACTTTTGACCTTGTGACCTTTGTGAAGGTCATCGGTCCACAATGTCATGGTAAAAGACCCCATGGGTCTAAGTCTTTGGTTCAAGAGTTAAAACTAATTTTACCTTTTCAGAAACCGTTAATAGGGGTTATGCCCCTTAAAAATATGTCAAATCTCTTCGGTCCAAATGTAAAAAAGTTAGCCTTAGTCACCTAAACATTTTTCACTATTTACTTTTTTTGTAAGTATAATCGTTTTTGAGATATCCAATAACAAGTTGAAAGGTCAAAGGTCAAGGTCAACATTAAAAAGCTTGAAAACACACTAAAAATTCTTTGTATAAGGTTAAAAACACTTAATTCGCTTTCTGGGACTTGACCTTGACCTTTGACCTTGTAACCTTTGTCAAGGTCATTGGTCTTTTATGTCATTGCTGAAGACCCTAGGGGTCTAGGACCTTTGGTTCAATAGTTAAAGCTGATTTTGTCTTTTCAGAAACAGTTAACGGGGGTTATGCACCTTACGGATAGGTCAAATCTCTTCGGTCATTATATAAAAAAGTTGCGCCTTAATGTCCCAAACATTTTTCACTATTTACTATTTCTGTAAGTATAATCGTTTTTGAGATATCGAATAAAAAGTTGTAAGGTCAAAGGTCAAGGTCAACCTTAAAAACCTTTAAAACACACTTTAAATCCTTTAAATAAGGTCAAAAACACATAATTGGCTATCTGGGACATGACCTTGACCTTTGACCTTGTGACCTTTGTCAAGGTAATTGGTCCCAAATGTCATTGTTGAAGACCCCATGGATCTAGGACCTTTGGTTATATAGTAAAAGCTGATTTTGTCTTTTCAGAAACCTAAAACAGGGGTTATGCCCCTTACAGAAAGGTCAAATCTCTTCGGTCAAAATGTAACAAAGTTGCGCCTTAATGACCCAAACATTTTCCACTATTCAAAACTTCTGTAAGTATAATGGTTTCTGAGATTATCCCATAACAAGGTGTAAAGTCAAAGGTCAAGGTCAACATACAAATTTGACCTTGAGGCATTTTGAAAGTCACATGAATTGATGATCATTGGTGAAGATCCTAGGTGGCTACGACATACGGTTTCTGAGTTTTGATGGCCAACCGACATCGGTTAATTTTCAAAGGGGCATAACCCTACCAATGAGTGGTTGAATCTTTTCGATCCAAATGTAACGAAGAACCGGGCTCTGGTCCTGAACAAATTTCACCCTTTGCTTTTTTTATACCTATTACGGTTACGGTGTTTGAATGATAACAAGTTTTTTAGGTTTCGGAGGGATAACTCCAGACCGACAAAATTTTACGACTCACAGGGTGAGTTCCGGATAGGTATTTGTGACACGGATACAAAGTGTGAACCTGAAAGCGACATGGCTTACGGTCACGGAGGGAAATTTTGTCAAAGTTTGGCAGAACAAAAAGAATAATAATAATAATAATAATAACAATAATAATAATCAGAAGAAATACAGTAAGGTCTTTCCCTTTTGGAAAAGGAAAGACCTTAATAATAATCAGAAGAAATACAGTAAGGTCTTTCCCTTTTGGAAAAGGAAAGACCTTAATTATAGGGAAAAAATGGAGTTGTTGTTCTTCTCCGTTGACAGAGTAGATAGCACATAGCTTCATACAAGAGTTGTAAGTGGAGGGTAAAAAAAAAGGGGGGGGGGGGGGGCAAAAGGGAGTCCCATGGAGACAATTTGTTATATAAACGGTACATTTAAGAATGGTTAAAAACGCCGATTTACAATATAAATCAATTGCTTTTAAAAGCAATTGTAAACGGTCTTTCCCCCTTCTGAAACATGATTGATTGATATATGTGTTTGTTTGTTTGTTTGTTTGTTTGTTTTTTTGAATGGTCCATATTAGTGTGTTGGTTAAGTTTCTATATTTAGTTTGGAAAGTTTTTATTCTATTTCAGGGTCCGCGCGCGTCTTTGTCTCGCGCCAGGTTGTGGCGTCACGTGACGAGGCTTTATATTAGCGAAAACTTAGTATTTTTATTTCTTTTTAGGTGGGGACGTTGGACAGACAACATGTATAGCGACGGAATACACACAATGTATTTCTTTTGTCATTGTAGGTAATTGACGTTTCGATCACAGTTCACGAGCAGTGCATGCTTTGGATTTAATTGATCCTGTGTAATTTTAAAACTCGTTTGTTGATTATTTTCATATAATGTACATTTTTCAGTAGCAGTTTGTAACACAGATTTGTATTTCAATCTAATAGCGGACATTTTATTGTAGGATTTCACTGAGATTTACGGAACTAACAAGCGATTTTTACGGCATTGCAATTTCTTTTCTCTAAGAAAATTCTTGCGAGATATCTGCACCACGTTGTTTTATGAAGATGTAATACATGTATACCCTGCTGACTGCAAATTTTGGGGTCAATTGGACATGTAGTTTCAGAGAACATCTGATAACAAGCATGTGGATTTTTTTTTCAGAACAGATGTAAGAACAATATTAAAATGTCAATTGTTCTTGAACAATTGAGAGGTCTTTCCTTTTGTAATGTAAAATACATGTTCCAATAGACGTAGAATGTATTGAAAAGTTCTAAAACACACAAAAAACTGTTAAAATATGATAAAAATCAACAAATTCGCTTTTTAGGAGATGACCTTGACTTTTGACCTTGTGACCTTTGTGAAGGTCATCGGTCCACAATGTCATGGTAAAAGACCCCATGGGTCTAAGTCTTTGGTTCAAGAGTTAAAACTAATTTTACCTTTTCAGAAACCGTTAATAGGGGTTATGCCCCTTAAAAATATGTCAAATCTCTTCGGTCCAAATGTAAAAAAGTTAGCCTTAGTCACCTAAACATTTTTCACTATTTACTTTTTTTGTAAGTATAATCGTTTTTGAGATATCCAATAACAAGTTGAAAGGTCAAAGGTCAAGGTCAACATTAAAAAGCTTGAAAACACACTAAAAATTCTTTGTATAAGGTTAAAAACACTTAATTCGCTTTCTGGGACTTGACCTTGACCTTTGACCTTGTAACCTTTGTCAAGGTCATTGGTCTTTTATGTCATTGCTGAAGACCCTAGGGGTCTAGGACCTTTGGTTCAATAGTTAAAGCTGATTTTGTCTTTTCAGAAACAGTTAACGGGGGTTATGCCCCTTACGGATAGGTCAAATCTCTTCGGTCATTATATAAAAAAGTTGCGCCTTAATGTCCCAAACATTTTTCACTATTTACTATTTCTGTAAGTATAATCGTTTTTGAGATATCGAATAAAAAGTTGTAAGGTCAAAGGTCAAGGTCAACCTTAAAAACCTTTAAAACACACTTTAAATCCTTTAAATAAGGTCAAAAACACATAATTGGCTATCTGGGACATGACCTTGACCTTTGACCTTGTGACCTTTGTCAAGGTAATTGGTCCCAAATGTCATTGTTGAAGACCCCATGGATCTAGGACCTTTGGTTATATAATAAAAGCTGATTTTGTCTTTTCAGAAACCTAAAACAGGGGTTATGCCCCTTACAGAAAGGTCAAATCTCTTCGGTCAAAATGTAACAAAGTTGCGCCTTAATGACCCAAACATTTTCCACTATTCAAAACTTCTGTAAGTATAATGGTTTCTGAGATTATCCCATAACAAGGTGTAAAGTCAAAGGTCAAGGTCAACATACAAATTTGACCTTGAGGCATTTTGAAAGTCACATGAATTGATGATCATTGGTGAAGATCCTAGGTGGCTACGACATACGGTTTCTGAGTTTTGATGGCCAACCGACATCGGTTAATTTTCAAAGGGGCATAACCCTACCAATGAGTGGTTGAATCTTTTCGATCCAAATGTAACGAAGAACCGGGCTCTGGTCCTGAACAAATTTCACCCTTTGCTTTTTTTATACCTATTACGGTTACGGTGTTTGAATGATAACAAGTTTTTTAGGTTTCGGAGGGATAACTCCAGACCGACAAAATTTTACGACTCACAGGGTGAGTTCCGGATAGGTATTTGTGACACGGATACAAAGTGTGAACCTGAAAGCGACATGGCTTACGGTCACGGAGGGAAATTTTGTCAAAGTTTGGCAGAACAAAAAGAATAATAATAATAATAATAATAACAATAATAATAATCAGAAGAAATACAGTAAGGTCTTTCCCTTTTGGAAAAGGAAAGACCTTAATAATAATCAGAAGAAATACAGTAAGGTCTTTCCCTTTTGGAAAAGGAAAGACCTTAATTATAGGGAAAAAATGGAGTTGTTGTTCTCTTCGTTGACAGAGTAGATAGCACATAGCTTCATACAAGAGTTGTAAGTGGAGGGTAAAAAAAAAGGGGGGGGGGGGGGGGGGGGGGCAAAAGGGAGTCCCATGGAGACAATTTGTTATATAAACGGTACATTTAAGAATGGTTAAAAACGCCGATTTACAATATAAATCAATTGCTTTTAAAAGCAATTGTAAACGGTCTTTCCCCCTTCTGAAACATGATTGATTGATATATGTGTTTGTTTGTTTGTTTGTTTGTTTGTTTTTTTGAATGGTCCATATTAGTGTGTTGGTTAAGTTTCTATATTTAGTTTGGAAAGTTTTTATTCTATTTCAGGGTCCGCGCGCGTCTTTGTCTCGCGCCAGGTTGTGGCGTCACGTGACGAGGCTTTATATTAGCGAAAACTTAGTATTTTTATTTCTTTTTAGGTGGGGACGTTGGACAGACAACATGTATAGCGACGGAATACACACAATGTATTTCTTTTGTCATTGTAGGTAATTGACGTTTCGATCACAGTTCACGAGCAGTGCATGCTTTGGATTTAATTGATCCTGTGTAATTTTAAAACTCGTTTGTTGATTATTTTCATATAATGTACATTTTTCAGTAGCAGTTTGTAACACAGATTTGTATTTCAATCTAATAGCGGACATTTTATTGTAGGATTTCACTGAGATTTACGGAACTAACAAGCGATTTTTACGGCATTGCAATTTCTTTTCTCTAAGAAAATTCTTGCGAGATATCTGCACCACGTTGTTTTATAAAGATGTAATACATGTATACCCTGCTGACTGCAAATTTTGGGGTCAATTGGACATGTAGTTTCAGAGAACATCTGATAACAAGCATGTGGATTTTTTTTTTCAGAACAGATGTAAGAACAATATTAAAATGTCAATTGTTCTTGAACAATTGAGAGGTCTTTCCTTTTGTAATGTAAAATACATGTTCCAATAGGCGTAGAATGTATTGAAAAGTTCTAAAACACACAAAAAACTGTTAAAATATGATAAAAATCAACAAATTCGCTTTTTAGGAGATGACCTTGACTTTTGACCTTGTGACCTTTGTGAAGGTCATCGGTCCACAATGTCATGGTAAAAGACCCCATGGGTCTAGGAACTTTGGTTCAAGAGTTAAAACTAATTTTACCTTTTCAGAAACCGTTAATAGGGGTTATGCCCCTTAAAAATATGTCAAATCTCTTCGGTCAAAATATAAAAAAGTTGTGCCTCAGTCACCTAAACATTTTTCACTGTTTACTATTTCTGTAAGATTAACCGTTTTTGAGATATCGACTAAAAAGTTGAAAGGTCAAAGGTCAAGGTCAACCTTAAAAACCTTAAAAACACACTAAAAATCCTTTAAATAAGGTCAGAAACACATAATTCGCTATCTGGGACATGACCTTGACCTTGTGACCTTTGTCAAGGTCATTAGTCACCAACGTCATTGCTGAAGACCCCATGGGTCTAGGACCTTTGGTTATATAGTAAAAGCTGATTTTGTCTTTTCAGAAACCTAAAACAGGGGTTATGCCCCTTACAGAAAGGTCAAATCTCTTCGGTCAAAATGTAACGAAGTTGCGCATTCATGACCCAAACATTTTCCACTATTCATCACTACTGTAAGTATTAAGGTTTCTTAGATTATCCCATAACAAGGTGTTAGGTCAAAGGTCAAGGTCAACATACAAATTTGACCTTGAGGAATTTTTCAAAGTCACATGAATTGATGATGATTGGTGAAGATCCTAGGTGTCTACGACTTACGGTTTCTGAGTTTTGGTGGCCAACCAACACCGGTTAATTTTCATAGGGGCATAACCCTACCAATGAGTCGTTGAATCTTTTCGATCCAAATGTAACGAAGAACTGGGGTCTGGTCCTGAACAAATTTCACCATTGGGTCTTTTTCTAACTATTACGGTTACGGTGTTGGAACGATAACAAGGTTTTTTGGTTTTGGAGGGATTACTCCGAACCGACAAAATTTTTCGACTCAAAGGGTGAGTTCCGGATAGGTATTCATGACACCGATACAAAGTGTGAACATGAAAGCGACACGTCTTACGGTTAAGGCTGCTAACTTCGTCAAAGTTTGGCGGAAAAAGAATAATAATAATAATAATAATAATAATAATAATAATAATAAACAGAAGAAATACAGTAAGGTCTTTCCCTTTTGAAAAAGGAAAGACCTTAATAATAATAATAATAATAATAAAAATTTGTAAGGGTTCCGCGGAACCCAGTGTCTCGCCTACTTTTGCTGTTAATCGCAGGCTCAACAAAAATGAGGAAAAAAATCAATAAAAATATTCCTTTAGATACTATCTTTTGATTGTAAGAAGCTTCTGTCAAAATTTGGTATAAATCCAGGATAGTTTATGAATCTAATCAATGTTTTAAAAAATTTAACTGCAGACTGTATTTAATGTTAACTGGAAGAAAAAAAAAGAAGTCCATTTATAAGTAAAATACGGATAAACAGGTACAAAATTTTAACAAAATTTCCTTCTAGATACTAGCTTTTGATCATAAACATGCTTCTGTCCAAGTTTGGTACAAATCCAGGATAGTTTAAGAAAGTTATTAAAATTTTAAAAACTTTAACCACAGAGTGAATGTATTGTTTCCTGGCAGAAAAACTAAGTCCATTTATAAGTAAAATACGGAAAAAATGAAAAAAAAATTTTAACAAATTTACTACTGGATACTATCTTATGATCATAAACAAGCTTCTGTCCAAGTTTGGTACAAATCCAGGATAGTTTAAGAAAGTTATTAAAATTTCAAAAACTTTAACCACAGAGTGAATATTTGTGGACGCCGCCGACGACAACGACGACGACGACGACGACGACGCCGACGGAATGTAGGATCGCTATGTCTCGCTTTTTCGACTAAAGTCGAAGGCTCGACAATAATAATCAGAAGAAATACAGTAAGGTTTTTCCCTTTTGGAAAAGGAAAGACCTTAATAATAATAATAATAATAATTAAAATGTCAATTGTTCTTGAACAATTGAGAGGTCTTTCCTTTTCGAAATGTAAAATACATGTTCCAATAGGCATAGAATGCACTGAAAAGCTCTCAAACACATATAAAACCGTTAAAATATGACAAAAAACAACAAATTCGCTATTTTGGACATGACCTTGACTTTCGACCTGGTGACCTTTGTCAAGGTCACTGGTCCACGATATCATTATGAAAGACCCCATGGGTCTAGGAGCTTTGGTTCAAGAGTTAAAGCTAATTTTGTCTTTTCAGACCGTTAACGGGGGTTATGCCCCTTAATGATATGTCAAATCTCTTCGGTCCAAATGTAAAAAAGTTGAGCCTTAGTCACCTAAACATTTTTCACTATTTACTATTTTTGTAAGTATAATCGTTTTTGAGATATCCAATAAAAAGTTGTAAGGTCAAAGGTCAAGGTCAACATTAAACAGCTTGAAAACACACTAAAAATTCTTTATATAAGGTTAAAAACACTTAATTCGCTTTCTGGGACTTGACCTTGACCTTTGACCTTGTGACCTTTCTCAAGGTCATTGGTCCCAAATGTCATTGTTGAAGACCCCACGGATCTAGGACCTTTGGTTATATAGTAAAAGCTGATTTTGTCTTTTCAGAAACCTAAAACAGGGGTTATGCCCTTACAGAAAGGTCAAATCTCTTCGGTCAAAATGTAACAAAGTTGCGCCTTAATGACCTAAACATTTTCCACTATACAAAACTACTGTAAGTATAATGGTTTCTGAGATTATCCCATAACAAGGTGTAAGGTCAAAGGTCAAGGTCAACATACAAATTTGACCTTGAGGCATTTTCAAAGTCACATGAATTGATGATGATTGGTGAAGATCCTATGTGTTTACGACTTACGGTTTCTGAGTATTGGTGGCCAACCGACACCGGTTAATTTTCAAAGGGGCATAACCCTACCAATGAGTCGTTGAATCTTTTCGATCCAAATGTAACGAAGAACCAGAGTCTGGTCCTGAACAAATTTCACCCTTTGCTTTTTTTCTACCTATTACGGTTACGGTGTTTGAATGATAACAAGGTTTTTAGGTTTCGGAGGGATAACTCCGGACCGACAAAATTTTACGACTCACAGGGTGAGTTCCAGATAGATATTTGTGACACCGATACAAAGTGTGAACCTGAAAGCGACATGGCTTACGGTTACGGAGGTAAATTTTGTCAAAGTTTGGTGGAACAAAAAGAATAATAATAATAATTAAAATGTCAATTGTTCTTGAACAATTGAGAGGTCTTTCCTTTTCATTATGTAAAATATATGTTTCAATAAGCGTATAATGCATTGAAAAGCTCTAAAACTCACACAAAACTCTTAAAATATGGTCAAAAACACATTATTCGGAATTTGGGACATGACCTTGACTTTTGACCTTATGACCTTTGTCAAGGTCATTGGTCCACGGTGTCATAACAAAAGACCCCATGGGTCTAGGACCTTTAGTTCATGAGTTAAAGCTTATTTTGTCTTTCCTAAAACAGTTAACAGGGGTTATGCCCCTTACGGATAGGTCAAATCTCTTCGGTCTAAATGTAATAAAGTTGTGCCTTTATGTCCCAATTATTTTTCACTATTTACTATTTCTGCAAGTATTATTGTTTTTGAGATATCCAATAAATAAGTTTTAAGGTCAAAGGTCAAGGTCAACCTCAAAAAGCTTTAAAACACACTAAAAATCCTTTAAATAAGGTCAAAAATACATAATTCGCTATCTGGGATATGACCTTGACCTTTGACCTTCTGACCTTTGTCAAGGTCATTGGTCCCAAATGTCATTGTTGAAGACCCCATGGGTCTAGGACCTTTGGTTTAACAGTAAAAGCTGATTTTGTCTTTTTAGAATCATAAATTAGGGGTTATGCCCCTTATAGAAAGGTCAAATCTTTTCGGTCAAAATGTAACGAAGTTGCGCCTTAGGTAGCAATAAACAGTTAGGAAAAAATGTTAAAATTTTCCCTCATAAATTTTACCATCCCCTTTTCATTGCCTTCTTGCAATATTAAGCTTACTGTTTGTGTCATATATGTGCATATGTATGTAATCAGAATCTTCCATAGATTTCATATCCAGTATATAAAATGGTAAAATATAATTTCTTTTTGGTGTATCCATGGCAACAATCTGCATTTTTTTGTTATAAAATATAGCAAAAAGGGGGGAAAAGATGTCACATATTTTCCCAAAATTTGACCAAAAGTAGAATTTCAATCACTTCAAGTAATACCTTTTCTGAAACTGTTTACATATATCTTTCAATAAATCCAATGAAAATCACATGTCTTTCATCTCATTTTTTTGTAAAATTGCGTCAAAAACTTCGTGTAGAAAAAAAGTGTTTGTAAACATTACATTAATTTCTGGACCGATGACCGGTCTAGCTATGAAAACACGGAGAGTCAAACAGAAAATAGCCCATAAAACATGTAAAAAATAATCTTGATGTTCTTATAAACCACCTTTGAAGGCTAAATTAGTACTCAGCTGTCTAAAAATGAATTCTATTACACAATAACTTTCATATTTGAAAAATCCACCGGGGCCAAAATGCGAAACCAAACTCCTAACTGTGTATTGCTACCTTAATAGTAAATATTTTTTTTAAATTCTCCCTTTTAACTAATTTTCTGTGTTCTTCTAGCTAAAACGAGTAAAATGGCTTTTTATTTTTGAAAATTGGTTGAGTAATGAATATGTTATGAAGGTTAGCAGTTGACACTGAAACGCGACAAAAACTGATTTAAAGAAAGGTGCCAAGTCAAAGTGTAAAATCTTTTTTCTACCTCAATTTTTGGCAAAATCTTAAAAATTATACCTCTTTTGTCAGTTTTTTAATGTTGAAAATCTTTATAAGACCTCTGATGATGCAAAATTGTACAAAATTTAACAATTTCAAGCATGAAAATGATAATCTTTATGTTTAATGTATACCAAAGACCTGATTATAAAACTTGGTAATTGGGAATCAATTTCTTACAGCTGAATCAACTATACATTTAATATTTGTCAAAATGTAACATGAAATCTTGATAAAAATAATAATTTGATATATTCGCAAGAAAAAATACAAAACATTCAATACTTAGGCTACTACATACTGCACAATCCTTCAGAAGCAAGGGTTAAGTAAATAGAGTACACTTATAAGCCTTATGTCAAAATGTCTAATTTTGGTTGCTAAGGACTGTAAACAATAAAATTGACATGTATTGTCATTCTTAAACACTTAATCCCCTCAGAAGTTGATTTAGAATCTAAATATCAATAGATTTGTGGTATGAAAAGTCTTAAATTATACAATTCTGAGCTTGGTAAGTATGCCATAAGGTAGCAATAAACAGTTAGGAAAAAATGTTAAAATTTTCCCTCATAAATTTTACCATCCCCTTTTCATTGCCTTCTTGCAATATTAAGCTTACTGTTTGTGTCATATATGTGCATATGTATGTAATCAGAATCTTCCATAGATTTCATATCCAGTATATAAAATGGTAAAATATAATTTCTTTTTGGTGTATCCATGGCAACAATCTGCATTTTTTTGTTATAAAATATAGCAAAAAGGGGGGAAAAGATGTCACATATTTTCCCAAAATTTGACCAAAAGTAGAATTTCAATCACTTCAAGTAATACCTTTTCTGAAACTGTTTACATATATCTTTCAATAAATCCAATGAAAATCACATGTCTTTCATCTCATTTTTTTGTAAAATTGCGTCAAAAACTTCGTGTAGAAAAAAAGTGTTTGTAAACATTACATTAATTTCTGGACCGATGACCGGTCTAGCTATGAAAACACGGAGAGTCAAACAGAAAATAGCCCATAAAACATGTAAAAAATAATCTTGATGTTCTTATAAACCACCTTTGAAGGCTAAATTAGTACTCAGCTGTCTAAAAATGAATTTTATTACACAATAACTTTCATATTTGAAAAATCCACCGGGGCCAAAATGCGAAACCAAACTCCTAACTGTGTATTGCTACCTTAATGACCCAAACATTTCCCACTATTCAAAACTTCTGTATGTATAATGGTTTCTGAGATTATCCCATAACAAGGTGTTAGGTCAAAGGTCAAGGTCAACATACAAATTTGACCTTGAGATATTTTTCAGAATCACATCAGTGGATGATGATTGTTGAAGATCCTAGGTGTCTACGACTTACGGTTTCTGAGTTTTGGGGGCCAACCGACACCGGTTAATTTTCATAGGGGCATAACCCTACCAATGAGTCGTTGAATCTTTTCGATCCAAATGCAATGAAGAACCGGGGTCTGGTCCTGAACAAATTTCACCATTTGTTTTTTTTCTACCTATTATGGTTACGGTGTTGGAACGATAACAAGGTTTTTTGGTTTCGGAGGGATTACTTCGAACCGACAAAATTTTTCGACTCAAAGGGTGAGTTCCAGATAGATATTCATGACACCGATACAAAGTGTGAACATGAAAGCGACACGTCTTACGGTTAAGGCTGCTAACTTCGTCAAAGTTTGCCGGAAAAAGAATAATAATAATAATAATAATAATAATAAACAGAAGAAATACAGTAAGGTCTTTCCCTTTTGAAAAAGGAAAGACCTTAATAATCAGAAGAAATACAGTAAGGTCTTTCCCTTTTGGAAAAGGAAAGACCTTAATAATAATAATAATAATAATAATAATAATAATTAAAATGTCAATTGTTCTTGAACAATTGAGAGGTCTTTCCTTTTCATTATATAAAATATACGTTTCAATAGGCGAAGAAAGAATTGAAAAGCTCTAAAACACACACAAAACCCTTAAAATATGGTCAAAAACACATAATTCGGAATTTGTGACATGACCTTGACTTTTGACCTTATGACCTTTGTCAAGGTCATTGGTCCACGATGTCATATCAAAAGACCCCATGGGTCTAGGACCTTTGGTTCATGAGATTAAGCTTATTTTGTCTTTTCTAAAACAGTTAACAGGGGTTATGCCCCTTACAGATAGGTCCAATCTCTTCGGTCAAATGTATAAAAGTTGCGCCTTTATGTCCCAATTATTTTTCACTATTTACTGTTTCTGTAAGTATTTTCGTTTTTGAGATATCCAATAAATAAGTTTTAAGGTCAAAGTTCAAGGTCAACCTTAAAAAGCTTTAAAACACACTTTTAATCCTTTAAATAAGGTCAAAAACACATAATTCGCTATCTGGGACATGACCTTGACCTTTGACCTTGTGACCTTTGTCAAGGTCATTGGTCCCAAATGTCATTGTTGAAGACCCCATGGATCTAGGACCCTTGGTTATATAGTAAAAGCTGATTTTGTCTTTTCAGAAACCTAAAACAGGGGTTATGCCCCTTACAGAAAGGTCAAATCTCTTCGGTCAAATGTAACAAAGTTGCGCCTTAATGACCCAAACATTTTCCACTATTCAAAACTTCTGTAAGTATAATGGTTTCTGAGATTATCCCATAACAAGGTGTAAGGTCAAAGGTCAAGGTCAACATACAAATTTGACCTTGAGGCATTTTGAAAGTCACATAAATTGATTATCATTGGTGAAGATCCTAGGTGGCTACGACTTACGGTTTCTGAGTTTTAGTGGCCAACCGACACCGGTTAATTTTCAAAGGGGCATAACCCTACCAATGAGTCGTTGAATCTTTTCGATCCAAATGTAATGAAGAACCGGGGTCTGGTCCTGAACAAATTTCACCCTTTGCTTTTTTTCTACCTATTACGGTTACGGTGTTTGAATGATAACAAGGGTTTAGGTTTCGGAGGGATAACTCCTGACCGACAAAATTTTACGACTCACAGGGTGAGTTCCGGATAGGTATTTGTGACACCGATACAAAGTGTGAACCTGAAAGCGACATGGCTTACAGTTACGGAGGGAAATTTTGTCAAAGTTTGGCGGAACAAAAAGAATAATAATTAAAATGTCAATTGTTCTTGAACAATTGAGAGGTCTTTCCTTTTGTAATGTAAAATACATGTTCCAATAGACGTAGAATGTATTGAAAAGTTCTAAAACACACAAAAAACCGTTAAAATATGATAAAAATCAACAAATTCGCTTTTTAGGAGATGACCTTGACTTTTGACCTTGTGACCTTTGTGAAGGTCATCGGTCCACAATGTCATTGTAAAAGACCCCATGGGTCTAGGAACTTTGGTTCAAGAGTTAAAACTAATTTTACCTTTTCAGAAACCGTTAATGGGGGTTATGCCCCTTAAAAATATGTCAAATCTCTTCAGTCAAAATATAAAAAAGTTGTGCCTCAGTCACCTAAACATTTTTCACTGTTTACTATTTCTGTAAGATTAACCGTTTTTGAGATATCGAATAAAAAGTTGTAAGGTCAAAGGTCAAGGTCAACCTTAAAAACCTTTAAAACACACTTTAAATCCTTTAAATAAGGTCAAAAACACATAATTCGCTATCTGGGACATGACCTTGACCTTTGACCTTGTGACCTTTGTTAAGGTCATTAGTCACCAATGCCATTGCTGAAGACCCCATGGGTCTAGGACCTTTGGTTATATAGTAAAAGCTGATTTTGTCTTTTCAGAAACCTAAAACAGGGGTTATGCCCCTTACAGAAAGGTCAAATCTCTTCGGTCAAAATGTAACAAAGTTGCGCCTTAATGACCCAAACATTTTCCACTATTCAAAACTTCTGTAAGTATTAAGGTTTCTGAGATTATCCCATAACAAGGTGTAAGGTCAAAGGTCAAGGTCAACATACAAATTTGACCTTGGGGCATTTTGAAAGTCACATGAATTGATGATCATTGGTGAAGATCCTAGGTGGCTACGACTTACGGTTTCTGAGTTTTGATGGCCAACCGACACCGGTTAATTTTCAAAGTGGCATAACCCTACCAATGAGTGGTTGAATCTTTTCGATCCAAATGTAATGAAGAACCGGGGTCTGGTCCTGAACAAATTTCACCCTTTGCTTTTTTTCTACCTATTACGGTTACGGTGTTTGAATGATAACAAGGGTTTAGGTTTCGGAGGGATAACTCCGGACCGACAAAATTTTACGACTCACAGGGTGAGTTCCGGATAGGTATTTGTGACACCGATACAAAGTGTGAACCTGAAAGCGACATGGCTTACGGTTACGGAGGGAAATTTTGTCAAAGTTTGGTGGAACAAAAAGAATAATAATAATAATAATAATAATAATAATAATAATATTCAGAAGAAATACAGTGAGGTCTTTCCCTTTTGGAAAAGGAAAGACCTTAATAATAATAATAATAATAACTAGGACCTTTGGTTCATGAGTTAAAGCTTATTTTGACTTTTCTAAAACAGATAACAAGGGTTATGCCCCTTACGGATAGGTCAAATATCTTCGGTCAAAATGTAAAAAAGTTGCGCCTTTATGTCCCAATTATTTTTCACTATTTACTGTTTCTGTAAGTATTATCGTTTTTGAGATATCCAATAAATAAGTTTTAAGGTCAAAGGTCAAGGTCAACCTCAAAAATCTTTAAAACACTGAAAATCCTTTAGATAGGGTCAAAAACACTTAATTCGCTATCTTAGACATGACCTTGACATTTGACCTTGTGACCTTTGTCAAGGTCATTGGTCAACGATGTCATTATAGAAGACCTTATGGGTTTAGGACCTTTGGTTAATGAGTTAAAGCTAATTTTGTCTTTTCAGAAACAGTTAACGGGGGTTATGCCCCTTACGAATAGGTCAAATCTCTTCGGTCATTATGTAAAAAAGTTGCGCCTTAATGTCCCAAACCTTTTTCACTAATTACTATTTCTGTAAGTATTAGCGTTTTTGAGATATCCAATATAAAAAGTTTTAAGGTCAAAGGTCAAGGTCAAACTCAAAAAGCTTCAAAACACACTAAAAATCCTTTAAATAAGGTAAAAACACATAATTCGCTATCTGGGACATGACCTTGACAGTTGACCTTGTGACCTTTGTCAAGGTCATTGGTCAACGATGTCATTGTTGAAGACCCCATGGGTCTAGGACCTTTGGTTATATAGTAAAAGCTGATTTTGTCTTTTCAGAAACCTAAAACAGGGGTTATGCCCCTTACAGAAAGGTCAAATCTCTTCGGTCGAAATGTAACAAAGTTGCGCCTTAATGACCCAAACATTTTCCACTATTCAAAACTTCTGTAAGTATGATGGTTTCTGAGATTATCCCATAACAAGGTGTAAGGTCAAAGGTCAAGGTCAACATACAAATTTGACCTTGTGGCATTTTGAAAGTCACATGAATTGATGATCATTGGTGAAGATTCTAGGTGGCTACGACTTACGGTTTCTGAGTTTTGGTGGCCAACCGACACCGGTTAATTTTCAAAGGGGCATAACCCTACCAATGAGTGGTTGAATCTTTTCGATCCAAATGTAACGAAGAACCGGGGTCTGGTCCTGATCAAATTTCACCCTTTGCTTTTTTTCTACCTATTACGGTTACGGTGTTTGAATGATAACAAGGTTTTTAGGTTTCGGAGGGATAACTATGGACCGACAAAATTTTAAGACTCACAGGGTGAGTTCCGGATAGGTATTTGTGACACCGATACAAAGCGTGAACCTGAAAGCGACATGGCTTACGGTTACAGAGGGAAATTTTGTCAAAGTTTGGCAGAACAAAAAGAATAATAATAATAATAATAATAATAATCAGAAGAAGAAATACAGTAAGGTCTTTCCCTTTTGGAAAAGGAAAGACCTTAATAATCAGAAGAAATACAGTAAGGTCTTTCCCCTTTTGAAAAAGGAAAGACCTTAATAAACAGAAGAAATACAGTAAGGTCTTTCCCTTTTGAAAAAGGAAAGACCTTAATAATAATAATAATAATAATAATAATCAGGAGAAAAACAGTAAGGTCTTTCCCTTTTGGAAAAGGAAAGACCTTAATAATAACAAGTAATCCTGTGTTAGGATGCTAACACAAAAGTCGCCAAAACGGCCCCCAACCATTGTTCTGCTGTTTCCATGGACCAAATCTAGATTTTTCGCATTTTTGTTGTTTCCATGGCAACGGCGGCCATTTTGGAAATTCCAAAGTCAAATTCTAAATCTACATACACTCGTTAACATCTCTGTAAAATTTCATCAAATTTGAAGCATTTTAAAATTTTAACGGCGGCCATTTTGAAAATTCCAAAGTCGAATTATAGCTACATATGGTGCTACCTGTAATAATCCATCATTATATAACATAAAAAGTACATAGGAATAATTTAACACTATCACATGACTAATCACATGACTATTGTTCTAGAATGTTCCATGAAAATTGACCCCCTAAAATAATGCCAAGATGACCCCGGGCTGAAATAAAAAATGTGGAATGGACACCTGGACATCGGTCTTTTGTATTACACAAAACTTAAAGGTTCTACCAGTAGCGAATCCATATTCGAAAATTGACCCCACCCATGTTCCGGCTCCCAAATAGTGCCAAGTCGACCCCCATTTGAAATAAAAAATAGTGAATGCACCCCTAGGGATACTAACCCAACATCATACCAAATATAAAGTTTCCATCATTAAAGGCTTGCAAGAAAATGGTCGGACAAATTAGGGTTAAGAATAATAATAATAATAACAAGTAATCCTGTGTTAGCATGCTAACACAAAAGTCGCCAAAACGGCCCCAACCATTGTTCTGCTGTTTCCATGGTAACGGCAGCCATTTTGAAATGTCAAAGTCGGATAGCACATCTACACATGACAGGTCACATTACCTACAAGTTTCATAAAAATTGGACTAATTTTCAAATTTAGGCATTCGTGTTTCCATGGTTACGGTGGCCATTTTGGAAATTCCAAAGTCAAATACCACATCTGCATAAGACAGTCAACATTTGTGTAAAGTTTCATTAAGTTTGAAGCATTTTGAATTTTTTGACATTTTTGCAGTTTCCATGGTAACGGCAGCCATTATGAAAATTCCAAAGTCGGATGGCACAACAACACATGACAGGTCACATTACTGTCAAGTTTCATACAGATTGGACCAAATCTAGATTTTTCGCATTTTTGTTGTCTCCATGGCAACGGCGGCCATTTTGGAAATTCCAAAGTCAAATTCCAAATCTACATACACTCGTTAACATCTCTGTAAAATTTCATTAAATTTGAAGCATTTAAAAAAAATCACACTTTTGCAGTTTCCATGGTAACAGCGGCCATTTTAAAAATTCCAAAGTCGAATTACAGCTACATATGGTGCTACCTGTAATAATCTATCATTATATAACATAAAAAGTACATAGGAATAATTCAACACTATCACATGACTAATCACATGACTATTGTTCTAGAATATTCCATGAAAATTGACCCCCTAAAATAATGCCAAGATGACCCCGGGCTGAAATAAAAAATGTGGAATGGACACCTGGACATCGGTCTCTTGTATTACACAAAACTTAAAGGTTCTACCAGTAGTGAATCAATAGTCGAAAAATGACCCCACCCATGTTCCGGCCCCCAAATAGTGCCAAGTTGACCCCCATTTGAAATAAAAAATAGTGAATGCACCCCTAGGGATACTACCCCAACATCATACCAAATAGAAAGTTTCTATCATTTAAGGCATGGAAGAAAATGGTCGGACAAATTAGGGTTAAGAAGAATAATAATAATAACTAGATTTGCCATTGCAAGCAATAGCAGATGTCACCCTTCCCCCATTGCCACTAGATTGCAGCCAATTTTAAAATTTTAAACAGTGAATGCACATATATACTGATGGCTATACATCTTTCTGTAATTTTTTAGAACATTTAGCGGATTTACAAATTAAACGCATAATTTTTCCTTTTTTGCCTTGTTTCCATGGTAACTGCAGCCATTTTGGAAATTCCAACGCCAATTGCCACTTCCACACATGACAGTCAACATTATTGTGAAGTTTCATTAAGTTTGAAGCATTCTGAAATTTTTGAAATTTTTGCTCATGTATCCATGGTAACATAATAGTTCCAATGATTGTCAAAATCATTCAAAACCTGTATATAATGGACAACTATATTGTATAAAACTTTGATGATTTTAAATTAAAGCATACCAAAATTATTCAACAAACCCTG